GACCAAGAGCACATCCAGCTCTCTTCCATCTCGGTCACCACCGTCCACCACTCGGTGATCGACGAGTTTCGCACTCAGTACCGCCACTGCCCCGACTATCGCGACATCCACTCGACCCTTCGGAGTGGCAAGACCGTCCCGAACTACTCTCTCGGGGACAACGGTCTTGTGTACTAGCACGGTTCACAGGGCACCAGAGAGCCCCGTATTTGCGTTCCCTTCACTGGACAGCCACGTGTCCGAGCAGTAGCAGAGTTCCATGACCAGGCAGTTGCCAATCATATGGGTTTCCACAAGACGTTGGCTCGTGTGAGCCGCCTGTACGTCTGGCCGAAGCGCAAGGACTTTGTGAAGGACTACGTCGCGGAGTGTCCCACCTGTCAGGAGGTGAACAGTGCGAACCACCTACCTTATGGTTTGCTCCAGCCTCTTCCTATCCCTGARGGTCGTTGGCAGTCCATCTCGATGGACTTTATCGGTCCTCTTCGACCTCAGACCCCCCGCGGTCATGATGCTATCCTGGTCGTCGTCGACCGCTTCACGAAGCGTGCACACTTTGTTCCGTGCCGCTATGCTATCAGTGCACGTGAGGTCGCCGACATCGTATTTGACCGAGTCGTGCGTGACCACGGCTTACCTCTGAGCATCATATCTGACCGTGACCCGCGCTTTACCAGCCGATTCTGGCGACGGCTCCACGAGGTATACGGCACTCAGCTCCGCTTCTCCTCCTCTTACCATCCTCAGACTGATGGTCAGACCGAGATCACGAACAGGACTCTCGGAGATATTCTCCGAAAGATTGTTCGTGACGACCAGCAGTGGGACCTCCATCTTGCCCACGCGAAGATAGCCTACAACCACGCCGTCTCGCCAGCACGGGGATGTCGCCTTACTATTGCGACCTCGGCTATCACCCTCGTGTTCCCGCGGACTTCCTTCGACCGTCACAGATGCACCCCGACACGAGTTGTCCCGCGCTGGATGATTGGGTTGCACACATGACGTCGATCATGAAGACCGCACATGAGCACATAGCCGCTTCCCAAACTCGCATGGCAGCACGTGCGAACCGATCGAGGATGGATCATCCATTCAAAGTCGGTGATGATGTGCTTATCGACRCCCGCCACTTACAGCTCGAAGCGGATACGCTTCGCAAGTTTCGGCGTCACTTCTTTGGTCCCTGCCGCATCCTCCAGGCCGTCGGTTCTGATACGGCTTCTAGCCCGGTCAACTTCCGTGTAAAGCTGCCCGACTACCTACGCCAGGCTCGTGTGCACGATGTCTACCACGTCTCGTTACTGCGTCCTTACCGCATACCGTCTGAGCGTTTCGCCAGACGACCATACGAGCACCCTCCACCCATCATGGAGGACGGTCATGAGGAGTTCTTCGTTTTAGACATCATTGGTCGCCGAGTCACCGACGACAACCCTTTCCCACGTCGAGTATCTTGTACGTTGGAAGGGTTACCTTGATGAGGAGGCTACCTGGGAGCCGCTCGAGCACTTGCAGCACGCTCGCATGTTGGTGCGTGCCTACGACCGTGTTCGTCGGGTTGGGTTCACTGCTCCTCCTCAGCCCACTGACCCTCCTCCTTCTCCTCCGGCTGAGGAGACCGCTGAAGTCGAGCCTGCTCCATCTGAGGCAGACCTTCAGCAACAGCCGGATGCTTCTGAGCGTCCACAGTGCACTCGTCGTCGTCCTGCTCGATACGACGATTRACTCTGACTTACCTTCCCACGTCTTTGACTTCTCAGTACTCCATCCACATCATTTTTGCTACTTCAGCTCGTCGACGCTGCGGCTCTTTCTCGACGGCATTCCGGACTTCTCATCGTGGACGTCATAGGCAGCTTCATGGACTTCATCACGATCAGATCTGCCTAATTCAGACGTCGCCACTCTCTGACCACTTTACCCTGTACAGTACCCTGCTTGTGTCGCATGATGGTCTTCCTTTAGCCGGGTTCCTCTGAGTTGGGCTCTCCCTTGGTATACGCATAGGCATCGAGACGGTAGCGTTGCCCTGGCTTCCCACCTTACGGATCTAGCTCCGACTTCCTTCACTTTAGGAGTCATTTGCATGATTCCCTTACCCATCATCTTTCTACCCTTCGCCGGCCCTCACGCCCTAGTTAGGCAGCCCCGCAGGCTCCCTTGTTCCCTTGCATGGTCGACCCTCCATAGCGGTCACCCCTTAGTCGAGCATTACCCGCCCTGATGGTCTATCTGTTAGGGTCATTGGTTCTGTTCGCTCCCAGTTCCCTACCCTCATTGAGCCTGATGACATGTGTTTTCCCCTGTCACTATGTGTGGATGCCCTTAGGAGTTTCGACCCCTAGGCTGCATTCGCCACCCTCAGAGATCACCCCAACCTTTGGTTTGCGACACACTTCTCATGTGACATATGGTTGTCTTGTTGATTGCTTTGTTGCTCTCAGACTGAGGCTACTGCCTCCGACATTTCTAGGATTTAGYTGTTYTGCTTTYGCTGTTCTTAGGACTTATACACTAGTCAGTTGTTACCAGACTGAGGCYAGTGCCTCCAACATTCTAGGATCTAGTTGTCACTACTTTCTGCTTTCCTAGGACATGTATGCTAGTTAGTTGTTTTTGCTTTCCTAGGACATGTATGTTAGTTAGTTGCTTCTGCTTTCACTTAGGATGTTAGTTGTGACATTGCTGTTTTGTGACATTTTATATCCTAGGTTGCATCGCATGGACTCAGCATGGAGCTTGCTCCGCATCCTAGACTACTCAGGTTTTCTTTTCTTTGGTAGAGTTCTGCTTCTTGGCGGAAGCATGTTTGTATCTAGGCGATCCATCACAGGCCGAGGATCGTGTAGCGGACCTCGGGTTGGCCTGTGAGACCAGCCCCTTGGCCTATTCTCACAGGCCTGTGTTGTATTCGGGGTAAGCCAGTCCAGGCCGGTACCTCTGTCGGTACCAGCCAGTCCAGGCCGGTACCTCTGTCGGTACCAGCCNCCCCTTTGACGGCGCCCGCGCTAGCCTTGCTAGCGCCGTTCGCCGCTTTCTACCACAGACTTCCCCCTACGCCCTCCGCTCACGCGGACCTTTTCCGGCCCCCTCCAGTCCGGTCCGTCATCTCCCCATGGCTGACGGTGTGTCATACGCCGTCGACACGGCGATGACCACGGCATCGTGCTCCACACCCTTGCCGGCGGACCAGGGCCATCAGCCCCAGGGGGATCTGCACACCCTCCTCACCTCCTTCCTGGCGCTCATCCAGGCGCAACTCGCGACTCTCGCGCTCTTACAGGCGCAGGTGGCGACCCTTGCCGCCGTTGTGCGGCAACTCCAAGACGCTGGTTGTCCTTCCTTTCCTCACCCTACCTCTTCTCCTGGCTCCCAGTCCGGGTCCCCCGCCTTCCGACAGGGTGGCCACGGTGGAGCTTCCTCCCCCGCTGCCCCGACCCGGCCATCTTGGTGACCGTCCACGCACCTAGCACGACGACCGCCACGAGTCAGGCCCTCCCTCAGTCCACGGGTGCACCCGCCCAGATTCCGGTCACGACGGCCACGGGACCACAACCCGCTACCATGGTTTCAGCTTTTCCGGGTGCCCCACTTCTCCCCCCTCTTCGCACGACCGCAACGCCATCTGGCCCTTCCCCTTGTGGGATGCCTCGCGCCGCTCGTGCGTCTCCCCCTGCCACACCTCGCTCGACCTACGTTCGAAGTCTCGAGGACGAGATCGCCCGGCTCCAGACCGACCTCGCCCTCTCACGCCTTCAGCCACCCCCACCCTCACAGGTGGCCGCGCCTTCCGGTGCACCCCCTTCTTCCTCTATTCTTCCTTCCATGCAGGCTTGCTTCCCTCGCCTTGCACCCTACCAATCTCCATCCTACCTCCTCCCCATCCCCTCGGTCGCCGCGACCACTTCTACCGCAGCTCCTGTACAGCCTGCCGCTGCTTCCCCCGCCGCTCCACCATGCGGCCCGGGCGTACAGTGAGCTGCGCCTCCTCCTCCTCCAGGACCTGCGACGACTTATTCCGCCGTAGCGCAGTCCCCTGCTTCCCGTTCCCCTCGCCGCCAAAATGGTGGCACACCACTCATCCGCTTGTCGGACATTCCCTTGTATGACGGTACAGGCATACGCGTGTCTAGGTGGCTGCAGGCTGCCACCCGCACGCTCCAGCTCATAGGCGCCACACCCGACACATGGGTGGGTCACCTCTCCACAGGCCTGCGTGGTGCTCCTTTCGACGCCTGGGATGATTTCTATGCTTACTCCCTGCGTGAGGGTCGGACTCCGACCTTCATGGATTTCCACGCGTTCCTCGAGGATCGCTTCGAAACCCGATATGATGTGACTGACGCCTTCGAGCGTGTCGTCACTACACGCTGGTCCGGCTCTAGTGGCGTTGCCGGCCTGGATCGCCACATCCAGGTCTTTCAGGACGCCCGCCTCGTTTGTGACGTGGCGTTCCTTCCTGAGGCTGCCCTTATCGATCGTTTCTTGGCCAGCCTCCCGCTCGAGTACCGCTCCGAGCTATGGCGGTACGAGTTCACATCGGCCCCACAGGCTTACGAGGCCGCCAGGGACCATCAGCGGATGCGAGCCCGTCTTCACCCCGCCTCCTCCTCCCAGCCCCAGCGCACGGGCTACGCCTCCTCCTCCTCTCACGACACTTCCCAGCGCCATTCCCCTTTCCGCGGTCGCCCGTGCCATTCCACGCAGCAGGGCCGCCACTTCTCGCGCCGCTTCAGCGCGCTGGAGTATGGTGAGCAGGACGTTGTTGCCCCACTGTCACCTGAGGGCGACCACAGCGACGACCTCGATCTCTGCGAGGCCGTCCACTATCACTTGGAGGACTCTACCCTCCCTGCAGCTGAGCGCCTTCAGCTCGCGCTCTCCGCCCTCTCTCGGGCACGCAGCCACCCCGGTCACGCTGGCACGTCGCCCCCCGAGGTCCCTCAGGAGGACCTCCCTCAGGGCTTCGTCCCTCCTCGTGGTGTCCTTTCCCCTGAGGAGCGCGCGGCCATTCTGGGCCGGCGTGGGTGTTTGYGCTGCCGCTTGGACGGTCATACCTCCTCGCGGTGCCCTTACACTACCGCCCTCGACCGCCACTACACTGATTTTTCTCGTCAGCGTCGTGCTCAGTCCCCCCCCGGCGCCTCATGTCCCCGCGGCGCCTCCTAGCCACGGTGCAGTGTACACCTGCGCCCTCCTCAGTAGTGGGCTTCCCGACATCTCCGTCGTGGTTCGCCCCTCTCGCTACTGGGGTTGAGGTATCGCAGGACTCGACAGAGTGTACTCAGCCCTCTGTCACAGTACCGTCTGCGCCTCCGCAGACCACCGTCTCCCCTTCTTCCCCGCCGCGACTACCGACGTGTCGAGCCATTCGCTCAGCCCGTTGCAGCGAGCAGCTCGCTACTCGCGAGGACGTTGTGTCCTCTCTTCTGGACTTGAGCATGCTCCAGGCTCGTCAGGAGCGACTCACCCTCCATGTCGCTGCACTGCGGCGCCTTCTCGCCATCCTCTCTGACCCTGATCGCACCCTCCCAATCATCCCTGTACGACTCGGGACCTCCACGAGGGTGTACTCCGCGCTGTGGGATTCCGGTTCTCAGGGCGACTTCATTCACCCACGAGTGGTGAAAGAAGCTCGCTTACCCACGAAAGGGTCTCCAACTCCCATTTCCGTTACCCTAGGGGATGACAAGACCCAGCGCTTCTTCGATCAGACGGTCACCGACCTCCCTTTCTTCCTCACTCTCGAGCCGACTGATCGTTCCCCGGCGTCTCGTCGCCACCGGTCCTCTGCACATTTCGATGYGATGGAGACGGGGTACGACTTCATTCTCGGCACTCCGTGGTCTCGTCGGTTCCGCAGCACCGAGGCCGATTGGGCGACCAACACTCTCGTTCTCAAAACGAAGTGTGGACAGACGTATCGCGTACCTTTCATAGGTACCACTGCGACACCACGCCCCGATCCTCCTCCCCCGGAACCTTCCGTGCCCACACCATCTCTTTCCATCACTGTCACCTCGCCTCGGCAGTTCGCCCACTTCATCCAACAGGACGACGTCACCTTCTTTATGGTGAACGTGACGGATGTCTTACACTATGATCCACCCTGTCCCGACGTCGAGCTCATCCCTCTGGAGCCAGATCCTCCTTCTATCTCCATGGCTCCCATCTCTACTTCCGTCCCTCCGCTGTCCATCGAGTCCACTCCGCCGTCGCGCGCTGATGCTGATGCTGAAGAGCTCACACTTTATACGGCTGACCTGGAGCCCGCAGTTCGTGACCTCATCCGAGAGTACCACGACGTTTTCCCATCGTCGTTCTCGTACGCCGACATCCCACCGATGCGTGATGTCGAGCACTCCATTCAACTTGTGCCTGACTATCGTGTTCACCACTAGGCACCCTACAGACTCTCGATCCCCGAGGCCACYGAACTCAAGCGTCAGCTTGAGGAGCTCCTGAGACTGGGTTTCATTAAACCCAGCAACTCCCCGTGGGGTGCACCCGTCCACTTTGCTCGCAAAGCGGATGAAACTCTTCGACTCTGCATCGACTACCGCGGTCACTACCGCTACACGGTTAAGAACAGCTACCCCATGCCTCGTTCCGATGAGTTGTTCGACCGCCTAGCAGGCAACCGCTTCTTACGAAGATCGATCTTCGTAGCGGTTACCATCAGATCCGCGTCGCTGCAGCCGACCAGCCGAAGACCGCATTCCGATCGCGATTTGGCCACTACGAGTTCACGGTGATGCCATTCGGCCTCACCAATGCACCCGCTACCTTCTACAGGGCGATGAACGACATCTTCATGGACATCCTGGAGCAGTACGTTCTCGTCTACCTCGACGATATCCTGGTCTATAGTCGTACCCTTGAGGAGCACCTCAGACACCTCCGCGACGTCCTTGACCGCTTGCGCAGACATGGCTTCTACGCCAAGCTGAGCAAGTGCCGCTTTGCCCAGCACAAAGTGGATTTCTTAGGACACTACGYGTCTGACCAGGGTCTCCACATGGACGACGCGAAGATCACTGCTATTGCGAAGTGGCCCGCCCCCACATCCGCCAAGCAGCTTTGCAGCTTCCTAGGCCTGACCAGCTACTATAGTAATTTCATCCGGGGATTCGCTAGGTATTCCTACGTCCTTACCTCCACCCTCCTCCGGAAGAACCCACCCTGGGCTTGGACACCCCTCCACGAGGACGCCTTCCGCGCCCTCAAGAAGGCGGTGACATGCGCACCGGTTCTTCACCTACCCGATTTCGATCGCCCTTTTATCCTTACCACCGATGCGTCAGACTTTGTTGTAGGAGCAGTGCTTTCTCAGGTCTTCCCCTCCTCTCCTGATTCCTCTCATCCTCGTATCCCTCGCTTCCCACCACCTACCCCTACCACCGCTTCCCGACTGACGCCTACTCGTCCAGCTACTGACGAGCCTTCTATTAACTATGCTCCTACCATCGCCGATGACGGCACTGTCGAGTCTCGCTCAGGTGATTGTCCGATAGCCTTCTACTCACGTCAGCTCCTGCCCGCCAAGATAAACTACACTGCTGATGAACGTGAGGTTCTCGCAGTAGTTTATGCCGTTCGGCACTGGCGTCACTACCTGCACGGGGCACCGTTCACGGTGCGTATGGACAACTCTGTTGTCCA